TCCTCTTGGTTTAGGGAAGGCATCTTTCATCTAGAGGTTTATCTCTTGCATTCAAGAAGCAAAGAGAGGTAAACGCCATGGAAAAGCACTTGCCTAGCACATGCAAGGCCCTGAGTTCCATCCCTAGCACTGGGGGAAAAAAAAGCAAAGAAGGCCAGAGAGGCTTCTTATACCTACTGACTTTCAACAGCTTCTAATTCAGAATAATTTGTATGACAAAGTGGCATATTTGGGGGTGGCACATTCTGCAACCCTTCCCCCTGAGATAAATCATAACAGTTCTATAAGACACAAAAAAGAAAGAAAAGAAAAAAGAAATTACCCCAAACTGGAAATAACCCAACATTATTAGCAGATGAAAGGATACACAAACTATGGAACAAGTATTTAATAGAACACAACTCAATAATAAAAAGGAACATGCTACTGATATACATAGCTAAAATGAATTATCTCATATGTATCATGTAATACAATCAGTGAAAGAGACAAAACTTAAAACCTACATGTCATTTTATTTTGTTTATATGACTTTATGAAAACTGTGGAGCAGATGGTGCTAGGTGCAAGGATGAGGGAAGGAACACAAAAGGGGTAAGGAAAGTTCTTGGAGATCTGCACTATCTGGCTTGTGGTGATGGTTTCATAGTGGTGACATGCATATTACAACAAATGTCATTATGTAAAAACAAGCTGTTTCCCTGTCTGTAAATTATATCTCAAAGGAAGGAAGAAAGATGGATGGACTAACCTATGGAAGAAGGAAAGAAGAAAAGGAGAAATAAAAGAAAGAACATTAACCTGTTGATCTCAAGCAAACTGAAGAACACACCCACCCTGTGACTAAGCAATGTCATCTTTTGGTAATCTATCCTACACAATAAAATAGCTAGTCTTAAGGATGTTGGTCCAAGGACTTTTACTGCTTCATCACAGGGGGAAAAAAAAACTTGAAAAGCTCTTGAGATTGTTCATTAGCAGAATAATATTTGGATACACTATGGCTGAATTGCACTATGGACTGGGTAGCTACCGAAAACAAGAGTTATGCGAATATGTATAAACCAATAATTGGAAATAGCAAGTTGCAAGGTTGCATGTATGGTATGCTCCCATCCTGTGTATTCAGCTTTCTGCCAGCACTGAGAAAAGGGTCTTCCAGCAGGGCAGTTCCAAGGATAACACTGCCCCCTAGGGGACATCTTGGAGATCCATTCACTTAAAATAAATTGCATTACAAATTATTTTCTGGAATGCTAAAATGAAACAGATCAGCCAGGCATGGTGGCCCACGCCTGAAATCCCAGCGGCTCAGGAGGCTGAGGCAGGAGGATTGCAAGTTCAAAGCCAGCCTCAGAAATGGTGACATGCTAAGCAACTCAGTGACACCCTGTCTCTAAATAAAACACAAAATAGGGCTGGGGATGTGTCTCAGTGGTCGAGTGCCCCTGAATTCAATTCCTGGTACCCTCTCCAACAAACAAAAAACAAAACAAACAAACAAACAAAAAAGAAACAGCTCTTATCAATATCCCCAGTAATCAAAACATTGCCAAAGTCAATGGTCAATTCTCTTTCCTCATCTTCCTCAAACTCTCAGTGATGTGTGATACATCTGACCACTTTTCCCATCTTGAAACACCTTCTTCTGGAGACTTCCAGGAAAAGATACACAACTTTCTCCTCCTACTTCACTGGTCTCCTCCTGCTAAGGTCTGAGGTGGATACTCCTGGTCTCCTCCTGAGCCTTCTTCACTGTCCTTTGCCCCTCACCCCTGACACCAAGTCACCTCCTCTATCCCCAGGGCTTCCAGTAACCTCCACATGTTAACGACTCCTAAAATTCCATCTAGGACTTTCTCCCAAGCTCCAGACTCCCATTTCCAATGGCCTGCTCCATGCCTCCATTTGTCTCACATTCACCAGGGCCAAGCAGTGTTCATTTCCTTTCAAACATCTCCCCTCAGCCTTCCTCCTCTGAGTAAGAGGCAGCACCGAGGTGCTCTGTACAACAAGAAGTCCTGCTCGACTCTTCTCTCTGCTTCACTCCATCATAAATTTGATAGGTGCTCCCTGCCTGTTTAACTCCTACTCAGACTTCTGGTTTCCACCTGAGTGAGCATCAGGCCTCCACAGAAGCCTCCCCTATCCTCTCAGATGAGTTGCCAACCCCTTCCACCCATACGCCTTCTCTGCTGCACTGAAGCATTGAGTTGATCCTTTATGTCCTCACTAAATTGGGGGAATTCTGGGGCCTTTCTCTGCCCATTCTAGGTCCAAAAAACAAAATTTGGCTTCACATTAGATTTCTAGATGTGGAAACTTCCATCCACCTCCACTAATTCTACCCTAGCCTAGGCCACTGATAGGAGCTACAGAGACATGAGCAATAGGAACAGGAGGCTAAGAGGATAATTCTATAAAATAGTCCCATTGTGCAGACCCCCCACATGCTTTCTCTTTTAAAAAAGCAATTTACAGGGGGTGGGGGTTTGGTGTGGTGGCTTAGTGGTAGAGCGCTTGCCTAGCATGTGTGAGGCACTGGGTTCAATTCTGAGCATCACATATAAGTAAATAAAATAAAGGTCCATTGACAACTAAAAAATATTAAAAAAAAAAAAAAAAAAGCAATTTACCAGGCTTGGACTGTGGCTCAGCAGTGGAGCACTTGCCTAGCATGTGCAGGGCCCTGGGTTCAGTTCTCATCACCACATAAAAATAAATGAAATAAGGATATTGTGTCCAACTACAACTAAAAAATAATTGTTAAAAAAAAAAAAAAGCAATTTACCTACCTGGCTTAAGTCAATAGAATGTTTCATTCCTCAGCGAATTACCTGTTGTCTGCAGGATAACTGGACTCCGAAATGGCAATAAGAATCCAAGTTATTCTAAAGTGGGTGGTGTAATGGTTAATTGGAATTTTTAACTTTTTTTTTTTCCTGGGGATTGAACCCAGGGGCACTCAAACACTAAGACACATCCCCAGCCCTATTTTGTATTTTATTTAGAGACAGGGCCTCACTGAGTTACTGAATGCCTGATGAGACTGGCTTTAAATTCCTAATTGTCCTGTCTCAGCGTTTCAAACTGCTGGGATCACAGGCATGCGTCAGCACACCGGGCTAGAATTATCAACTTGATTGGATTAAGAAATAGAAAGGATTAAGGTGATTATGGGTGTGCCGATGGGGTGTGTCTAAGAATGACTGGCATGTGGGATAGCCAACAGAAATGGAGACCCTCCCTAAGTGTGGGAAGTACCGCCCAATAGGATGATGGCTTGGATGGAATAAAAGCTGGAAGAACAAGGCGGCGGCAGCAGCAGATGCAAGCTCGGTTCTTCTTGAGTGCGGTCTCTTCATTGCTGCTGCAATCATCTGAGGAATTGGACTCTCACTTCTTCACTCTTCCAAAGCAGACTCTGCTAGTGATTCTCCAAAAGCCTTCAGTCTCCGACTAGGGTTGAACCCTCTTGTTCTGAGGCTTCAGCCTGTTGGACTGCGCAGCTACTTGTTCTTCCAAATCTCCAGCCTGCGGACGGCCATTGTGGACTATCCAGCTTCTGGTCACATAAGCCAAGCTAGTAAGTCTCCTTTTTATAATTATACTTCCTGTTGATTATGTTCCTTTAGAGAACCCTGACGAATACAGGGGGGTTTTGAGACCCTTACAAAGACCAGATCCCAGGACTCAAGGAGGTAAGTTTAATTTCCCCTAACCAAAATCTGTAAGAATAGGTTCCAGTTAGACTGATCAGCATGGATCAAAGTGACCTAGAGTTGTCATGGCAGTAGGAACTTAAGTTTGGTGTCATCCTGCTCAGTCAAAAGTTAAGAAATAAGAAAGAGGTGGCTCCTGGGTGGGATTCTCTGGAAACTTTCCTGGGACTCCCAATAAAACTGGGGGACAGGAGGTACTGAAATGTCCCCCTCCCCTCTGAGAGGATCTACTGTCTTCCTAGAGTGTGCCTTTTCTCTTTTTCTAGCCCTTCAATTAACTCAGGCCTGTTACTCTGAACAGTATGACTGAAATCTTTCTGACATAATTGCAAAAATCTGGGTTGGAGCAGGCCTTTGTGTTGCCTCAGTTTCATGGAAGGCGCCAGAGCTCTGTAACACCATCTTTTGTCCAATCACAGCTAGGGCTTTCAAAATGTTCTCTTAGTTCCACTCTACCATCTCATTCTTTGCTAAGCAGCTGGAGTGGGCTTCTTAGAACCCAGACCAGAAAGCAAAAACAAGAACCAACCAAACTCTACCCCTAAATCAAACATAACTTCCTCAACCCAAAATCCAATAAAGGCCTTAACATGGCCCCCAAGGCCTCACATGGTCTCTATTCCATATCCAACCTCTGCACTCAAAGTGTAGCCCTTGGACCAGCTGAGAAGCTAGTTAGGAATACAGATTCTTGAATTGCTGAATGTAACTTGAATTTTTAAGAGAACTGCAGATGCTCTTAGGGTTTGAGGACAGGTTCTTATACTCCCCCTCAAACCTCATTTAGCCTTAAGGGTATTTGCTACTACTCAAGGCTGGGATTGTGGAATGAACAGGGTGCCCGAAGTGGAGGTCTAGGTGGGCAGTGAAGGAAAGGGACTAGGGCTAGAACTGAGAGAGACCACGCAAGTGGTGCAGCCCACGGCGAGGCCGCCTTCCCAGCACTGATTTGGTCCTGAAGCGGCAGAACAGTCAATCCCGGGAACTTAACCAGAAAGTAAGAGTAACGACAAAGCGGTGCAACAATTACAAGTAGTACTCTTTGCGCAGGCGCACAGTATCCTCGCTGCCTGAAATTTGAGTACGCGTGCGCACAGAGAAGCAGCTGGAGGCTGTGGGGCCTATTCGCCGGGCCTCTTAGGGCGGGGTGGGCGGGACCTGAGAGGGAAGGGGATTTCCGCTTCCTCCGAGAGCCGGAAGTCACTGTCTCCCGGGCGAACCGGGCCTTTGCAACGAGGGAAGGCGAGTGCAGGTGATCGTGCGCGCGGGCGGGCGTTGGGGCTGGGCCAGACTGGTCGTTCTTCTGCTCTGGGACACTCACGCGGTCCTGGAACAGCCGCCAGGGTCCCCGGCTTGGGGGGCGGCTGGTCGGGGAAATTGATCTCCGGACCCTAGCCCTCCAAGTTGGGCAGCTCTGGCCCTGCCTCCTTCGGGTGGTCGTCGGGAGGCGACGTCCAGGCCTCGGTGAGCCTGGAGAAACAGCCCGCCCCTCGCCTCTTGTGTCGCGGCAGTTTGGGGGGCGGGGATCAACCCTCTTCCAGCTCTCCCTTGACTCGCTTGGACTTTCGTTGCCATAGGACACACCTGGACCTCTGGTTCTTGTGCAAGGCAGAATCCATTCCTCAGGTGCGGTGCTGTGATCACCGGGTGAAATGAGATACTGGGCCCCCTCCGTTGCTCTCATTCAGGAGACTTATTTATTCATTCAATAAGTAGTTAAGTACTTAATGTGTTCCAGGCACGATGCGTGCAAGGAATTCAGCAGTGAACAAAACATGTCCCTGCAGAACTGACATTCTCATGGGAGGAGGTCTAGGATTAGAGTCAGAAAACTGCCTTTTTTGAGCACCCTGAGCTGATTTTTGTTGTAGCCAGAGCTGAGCTTTCAGGAAAAAAATAAAACACACTGTCCTGGCAGGTGACAAGATGGGCTACAGACCAGGTGGCACCTTATTTAAACCTTAAAGGTCTTGTGAGATCTAGCTGATCTTTTGCATCTCACACTCTTCTCTCCATTGCTCTCTGGGCTACAGCCACACTCTGGAAAAAAGCAGTTTGCCTCAGGGCACTTACAGTTGGCCATTCCTCTGCCTGCACATCTTTGCATCATGACTGCCTCCTGTCATTGAGACCTCAGCTTAAATGATACCCAGAAAGGGTCCTTCCCAATCCCCTTATCTGGAGCAGCCTCACCTCAGAAACTTTCACTTAGCCCTGTTTAATAACCTTCATAGCACTTACTAATACACGAAATTCTCTTGCTTATGTGCTTACTTCATAAAAGCCTGCCATCCTCCATTGGAATTTCAGACACCTTGCCTGCCTTGTTGGTTGCAGCATTAGTATGATTGAACAGAGTTCCTGGGATCTGCTTCCTCACTCATTCAGTAAATATATGTTGGAGGGAGAGGGCAATTCTATGGCCATGAGCAATTCCATATTCTGAGGATACAAAGAAAAGACAAAAATTCCTGCCCTTGTGGAATCTATACTTAGAAGGAGGTAGGCAGAATTGGGGATCAGGAAGACTGAGAATGAGGAGGCTGAGATTACTGCTCCTCAGACCATGGGGATTGCCTTAGAGGTGATGAAAAGTGGTAAGGTTCTGGATGTATTTCAGAAGGGCAGGGGCAGAGTCTGGTATAGGGTGTGTAAGGAAGAAAACGAGAAGGATGAGTTCAAGAGTTTTGGCCTGAAAACTGGAAAGATGGAGGTGCTGACGGCTGAGATGGAGAAAGCCTCAAGAGAAGAGGTTGAGGTGCCCGGAGCTCAATTTTGGACATGTTACTTTGCATTCATAGACATCCGGTGAAGTTGTGTCCAAGACAAGGAGACCATTGGGTCTGTGGTGGAGGCTGAAGAGGTGGGATGCATGAAGCCCAAGGACCTCCGTGGAGGTGTGAGGAGGGAGCAGGCAGAGGCCCAAAAGATGGAGCTCATGGACTTTCTTATTACTGGGGAGGCTGAAGAAGCAGCAGAGGACGGGGAGGGCTAGAAGGGGCCACCAGGGAGGCAGCGGGCAGGGAGAGGCTGGGGTCCCAAGAACTACAGGGGAAAGATGGGAGGGATCGGTGTGTCCAGTGCCGTGAAAAGGGGACTGACTGTTGGTGTTGGCTTTGATGACCTTGATTGAGTGACAAGAAGTGTAAAGAATGGGAGGGGGACACAGGCAGCAGAGAAAAACCTGCAGAGAAATGGATAGCTGGAGGATAAAGAGGTAGTTTTCTGACATTTTAAGAGATGAGCAAGGTAGTGTGTTAGTGATCTAATGGACTCTGAGGGAGCATCCTTACCTTTGTTTTGTAGATAATGAAACCAGGGCACAGAAAGCTTAAGTAAGTTGGGGAGCAAGGGTTAGAGGCCACCCAGAGTGCACTGGGGGGGGACTGTCTTTCTGCCTTGGGATTGGGAACTTCAGCCCCCTGAAGTAGAGCTTGGGCACCATTGTACAAGTCCTCCCTATTCCATGGGCCACTGCCAAGGCTCCTTCCCAGTCTGCTTCTCAGAGTGTCAAACGAGAGGACTGCCAGCTACTATGAGCCTCTGACTTCTGCCCTCCCTCACCTCCATAGGTTTGCCCACCTATAGCCATGGGACGCAGGAAGTCAAAACGGAAACCACCCCCCAAGAAGAAGATGACAGGCACCCTGGAGACCCAATTCACCTGTCCTTTCTGCAACCACGAAAAGTCTTGTGATGTGAAAATGTGAGTGAGGGGCTGGGTGAGGCCTCCTGCCCCACTGGGTACCTGAGTCTCTCCCCCTTGCCTGTAGTCCTCCATCCTGTCCCAGTCCTTCTGTTTGGGGGGTCACCAAGGGCTTATTGCTCATCATTCTCTCCACCTCACTCTATCCCATATCAGGGACCGTGCTCGCAATACCGGAGTCATCTCTTGTACCGTGTGCCTAGAGGAATTTCAAACGCCCATCACATGTATCCTTGGAAAATGCAGCTTTTGGCTGGGAGGGGCGGGGGTAGTCAGAGCTGTCATGCCCAGGGTGGGCTAATTAGGGGCAGATCGCTAAGGGTGAGGGGGCTGGAGTCCATCCCTACGCCTCTAGCCCCACTGTGGCCTGGCACAGGGCCACTGCCACTAAGATGAGCAGAGGTATATGGGGGGGGGGGTGTCCAGTGCCACTAATTGTCCTTGACCTCAGCAATTCAGATTTGTCAGAACCAGTGGATGTGTACAGCGATTGGATAGATGCCTGTGAGGCAGCCAATCAGTAGCAACACAGAGGACCCATCCCTTGGTGGCCCTGCCTGCCACGGACCCACCTGCTGGGTCCCAATCCAGAGACATTCCAGGGGTCCAGGGTGTGGGTCCAGAGCTGTGTGTATGGAATGGGTGTGAGCGTGAGTGAGCTGGTGTGGCTGCAAGCATGGCTGTGTGCACGTGGACTTGGGGTGAAATTGGTCTCCTGGGCCTGAGAGGCCCAAACTGGCCTCATTTGGCTCCAGACTCCTTTGAACTGCTCCATTCTCCAGCCCCAGCCTCCTGTGGCTTTGGAGTCCTGGCTCCTTCAGGGTAGGTTCCTGACATCCTGGGCAAGGGAAGCCACCAGAGTCTGAAGCGGGACCTCCCTGGACTCCTCACCCACCTCACCAGCACCTCACCTGTGTGAACAGGATTTCCCGCCCTTCTTCCCTTCCTCCCAGTGCCTGTAACTGGGTGTCAGAGCCACGTTCCCCAGGTCCCTTGGCTGGGCCTCGGTAGGAGGCCAGCTTCCCTGTGCTAACTAGATAAGCTCTGTGTTAATGGGAGCTGCTTTTATAGAGGAGGCAAGGAACGGTGTGGGGATAGCTGTCAATCAACTAGCCCTTCAATAAAGCAGCTCATGGAGATCCTGGCTGACTGTGATTTCTTGGCTTCTGTGTCTACCCCAGCGCCAGAAGAGGAGGTGGGATTTAGGGTGAGGCACTTTAGAGGTAGCGGTCACTGGTTGGAGGTGGGGTTCTGTCAGTCCTTCAAACGGTTCAGTATTTCATTCATGAAGTATTCAGGGCAATGCTGGGTGCATAGGATGGAGCAGACACATCTGGCCAGGTGTTTACAGAAGTCACAGTGAAAACCCTGGGGTATGGGAGGCAGTACAGAGGAGGCAGTGTTCAAGACCACCCCATACCTGACACTGCTCTCAGGGCTTGTTATTTCCATGTCCCAACAGCTGCCCTGTGAGATGGGTGCAAGGTAACCCTAGGTTCACAAATGGGGAAACAGGCCCGAGAACTAGGAGGCCACTGAGGTCCCTCAGCCAGAAAGACATAGCTGTGTCTTGAACTCAGGCTGGCTCCACAGCCTGTGATCTTCCTTATAAGTCCAGGGAACAGAAGTTCATGGGATGTTTTGGGGGCTGTGGGCAGGGGCGGAACCCTGGAGAAACATACTGGTCCACTGAGAGGACCTGTTTGCAGGGCTGGCGGGGAGTGTCAGAAGACTGCAGGTAGATGTGCACCTGCCCTCAGAGGGTCTTAAGGGTGGCAGGAGCCCTGACCCTGGTAACCTGGGCAGATCCAGCACCTGAACTTGGCCTCATGGAACCTTCGCATTAGGTAACCTGGCTTCAGAGTCCTCAGTGGTACTGAGGGAAGGATGTAAAAAATTGGGGGGGCTATGAAGAGGAGGGAATGGACAGGGAGAGTGCCTGGAATTGTTCAAACAGCTCCAGTGCCACCCAGGGCAGGGACAAGAGAACAGCCAAGGAAGGTTCAGCTGGCCTGGAAGTCCTAGCCACGCACTGTGCAGTGACAAACCCCTCCCTGGCACTTCTACCTTCTCTAGCGCCCCGGGTAAGGTCCCCTAGACCTGGAAGGAGATAGAGGACCCAGGCGGCAAGGTAGACAGGCCCCTGAGTTCAGCAGTACCAAGATCCAGCTGAAAGGGGTCTTGTTCCTTTGGCACCCAGAGCCCTCCCTGTCACCGGCCCACCCTAGCCTGACAGACCAAGTGCTAATATGGTACTGTTTTCCTAAGGAGGCAGGGCCCTGGGCCAGGCATGGATCCTCCTCAGCATAGCTTCCCTGCGCTGCCCTGGGGGGAGCAGATCTTGTGGTCACCAGGCCAAGAGTGCCTGGAATCTGGTTTACGAGGCCCCAGGGACTGTGTGCATCTACATGAGGGACTTCTGGTGTCTGTCTCTGCAGGTCCCCACATTCCAGCCTCAACCTCTGTCCTTATGGGGGAGTGAAGGAGGGAGGGGAAGAAGACTGCTCTGGGTCCCCCTCCCATTCTCTGCATTCTCCCCTTAGCACCCTGTGACTGGTTTCTTCCAGGCAGGAGGGCTGGACCCTCCTCTCCAGAACAAGACGCCCTCTGAAGGGTGAAGTGGTTGGAGCCCTGTCCACAAACTTAAGGTCCTGGAGTGACAGGCCAGAGTTGGGACTCAGCCTTAAGAAGGCTAGGAGCAAGTGAGGCAGAGAGGGGCAGCTGTACCCTGTGGCAAGCCACTCAGCAGCTCCATGCCAGTCAGTAGGACACATTGCCTTGTCCCATAGAACCAATCTTTACTTCCCCCCAGTCAGGCTGAAGGGGTTGCCCCTGCCCACGAGTACCACCAGGACCCTTGCATGTCACTTCATTGAAGCTTCCCCTGACCCTACAAGATTCACTGTTCCTATTTTTCTTATGAGAAAACAGGCTGTGCCCAAGGTCACTGAGCCAGCAAGCAGCAGAGTCACATCCCATCCCACCAGTGTCGGCACTCGGTCTTCCTCACTACCACCAACCTGTCCACAGGAGGGTGTGTGCATGGATACTGTGGTGTGTGAGGCTGTGCGTGTATCACCATTCCGGTATTTCTTTTTCTTTGTGGTGCTGGGGGTGGAATTTAGGGCCTCACACATGCTGGGCAAGGGCTCTACCACCAAGCTCCACCCCAGCCCAGTGTTTGCCATTTCACATGTCGCTGGTGGCGAGTGTGGACTACATGTAGGTGCACATCTTGTGTGCAAGGTTAGGAGTGCATGTGGATGTTGCACTAGACACGGTGCCTGTCCTATGTCTAATGGACTGAGGTCCCTGTGCATTCCTTGGGGCAGGTATGTGAGTGCAGGAGATGGGGTGTATCTGAGCAAGGTTGTCTGCATGTGTGCGAGAGCCATACAGGCTCTGGGACAGAGCAGTTCCAAGCCTCAGGTGATTTTACAGCATTTATTGTGCTCCAGTGAAATAGGAAAAAAGTGCTCGCGTTACAAACGCTGCTGTCACATCCGCGTACGCCAGTCTCTGCAAACCAAACCGCGTGTGTCCGCTGCGTCTCTGGGCATGCAGTTTGCTCCCACTGTGGGAATGGGCTGGGGGCAGGCGGAGCCTGGGCTCTGGGGGCTTGGTTTGGGGGCTTCTGGTCCTGGGGGTACCCACTTGTGAGGGAGTGGGGGACAGCTGGAATAGCTTTGCTCAGTGCATCATCTGGGTGCTTTCAAGGACACCCAGCTGTAGGTTGGACCCTGCAGTGCCACAGGGAGGATGGCCCCCTTCCCTCACAGGTCCCCCAGTCTGCACTCCCCAAATTGTAACCCTATCGGCAGGTGCCAGGGGGCTGGAGGACGCCATGCAGGGGGACAGGGTTGGCTGGAGCCGGTTGGGTCCAGCCAAGAGCAGCAGCCAGCCTCCCTGGGGGGCCCTAGGCAGAGTTGTAGTAGTTATGTGCGTGGTGGTTTGGGGTGGGCTCACCCAGCTCCGGGTACTCTGGCGTCAGGCAGTACTTGGGGTCATAGACCTGGCGCGGTAGCCCATACACCGTCATGCCCCTCTGTGAGGCCCCCTTGTTGCTGCCCATCTGCAGGCTGACATTCTGCATGTCACAATGCTCCATGCCCAATCCTGGCTCGAAGATCTGTCTCTTGGTCCCGGGTGCAGTCATACCGGCCTACACAGGACAGAGTGGTCAGGCCTTGGTTACCGTGAGGACCTGGCCAGTGTGACCAACAGCCCCCTACTCACCTGGCTGGCTCCCTTGTTGGTGCCCATCTGCAGGCTGATGGTGGCCTGGTCCAGGGGCTGGTCTGTCCCCAACTTGGGGTCATAGAGGTGGCGCCGGGTACCATAGGCTGTCATGCCTTGCTGGCTGGCAAACTTGTTGGTGCCCATCTAGGAGACCAGAAAGAGTCACACCAAAGATTACAAAGTTCCCCCGTGGGCCGTGAGACACCTGATGTCGGATCATGAGGCCCTGCTGCCTCCCTTGGTTTACAAGCTAGAAAATGAGAGTCAGTGGGCATAGCACACAACCAACATTTTGGGTTCCCATTCTCATCAACTGGGCCATCCTGGCAAAAGTAGGCTAGCAGCTTCTCCAGGCCTGGGGGTGGGTGAGGTGAAGAGTGCCTGGCCCCTTGGTCTGTTGGCAGAGGGAGTGAACACGAGTGGAAAGGGCTAAGCAGGGTCCTGGCCTAGTGTTAGTTAATGCCAGATGTCCTGCCCCCGCAAACCTCCAGGCACCAGCTGCCCTCCCTCCAGGAGGGCATTGACCTCCCACTCAGCGCAGCAGTGAATGGGGAAGGGGCAGTACCTGCAGCCCAATGATGTTCCGTCCTTCTCTTAGCTTCTCTGGCTCAAATTTCCGCTCTTGCTTCTCCGCATACTTCACACCCACATTCACCTTGTTTCCCTTCGTCTTGGCCTGGGTGGGGCCAGGAGGACAAGGACTGACAAGAGAGCCTCTAGCAGGCTGCATTGTCCCCTGGGAGACATGGCAGGTCACCCGCCCTCCCAGGTCACCCGTCCTGGGCTTGATGGCACAAGTGGCCCCGCATGCAGCCCAGCCTAGCCCAGCCCTATCCTGTGCCCACGCTGCCCCTACACTCACCATGCTGGCCAGAGCCAGGAGGGTGGACTGCACCTGGGTGTGGTTGGTATTCTCAAACAGGTCGTTGGCTTCGAAGATGTCGTGGGGCTTCACCCCATACTTGGTAATGGCCTTGATGAAATTGCCAATGTTCTCCAGCTGGAGGGGAGCAGGCAACATTAGAGGTGAGAGGGGGAGGGCTGAAGGGCTTGTGGACAATGGACCAAGAGAAGTTGCCTCTGGGCTTACCTGGTGCCAATTTTGGGTTGATTCGTTTACCTTCTTCACAGAACCTGGCTGGAGCTTATTGATGAATCTACAAAGAGGGGAGGGGGTTCCGGGGTGAGCCCCTGCTGCTCCCAGCAGGCCAGGCAGGTGGGATAAGCAAACTCAGGGCGAATGGGAAACCAACCACAGGGAAAGTGGACTCAGGTCACCAGCCACAAAGTCCCCATGTCAGGATCTCCTAGTTTTCCTAAGGCTTCATTGGTGGCCACTTGTGTCTCAGTTTCTTTTTCTCTTGTGGACACAGCGGGGAACCCACAGGGACCTCTTCTCTGACCACACTCACCCCCTTGGTGATCTCATCAGTATCCCCACTTTCAGTGCCCTCCATGTGCCAGTGATTCCCCAGTGGGCAAGGCCAAGCAGCCCAGGCCTCTCGCTCTCCAGCCCTCCCTCCGTGGGAGTTCCAATCTGCTCAAATCCAGCACCCACCACCCCAGACTCCTGACATACACATCTGCTCACCAATCCTTCCTCCCTCTGCTTTGCTCAGTAAGCAACAATTCCCACCTTTCCTAGTGCTCAGCCAAATTACTTGGACTTGACTTCCCCTTTCTCTTCCGCAGCAAGTCCTTGGGCTCTGCCTTCTAAATGCATGAGGAAGCCCACCCACTTGCCCACTGCCCCTCACCACCCCTACCCTGCTCTGAGTCCTCAGCGCTTCTGCTGGGCCCTTGCAGTGGCCTCCTGTCCGTGGGCTCCCAGCTTCCACCTCCTCCCTCACAAACTTTTGGCCTTTTTAGTTTTTACTTGTTAAGCTGGGAATGGACCCCAGGCCC